ATTAATAAAGCAAAAGCTTAGTTTTGTGCAGGTCGGGAATTGTATAATTCTTTCCATTCATTGGATTAGTATCGCATAGCGTGAGGACGCGTAGTGGCCAAGTTTGCCCAATCATTGGAATCCCTCGCAGCTATGCTAATGCTATGTCGTTCCTACGTGTTTTTGGGAGAACCACACTGTTATGAAAGTCCGCATTGTTTGACAGCCTTTTCCATATACATCTTAGAATGAAACATTTGATATCAAATAACTATGGTGATCCTATGTTAGGGAATCAAGCCATTGTTTCTGCTCTCGGTATCCGTAACCTTTCAATGATTGATCTTGTTAGATAGAGCCCTATCTATACCTTAAGGCACTATCAAAGCGTATTAATATGCAGAATGACTGTTTTACTGTTAAAAAAATGCCATAAGAGGCCGTGACAGGGATTCACAGTGTCTGACGATGGTTGTCAATAAAATATGTAATCGTTTTGTATGAAGGAAAGTCTTCTCAACCATGTCTAGAGGTCACTTGCTTTACAAATAGCCAGGTCAAAGCATGCGTTTACGATCTTTTTTGCTTACTCTCCATGATTCCATAGGTTTGTTTTTAAGTTTAGCACGTTGTTATTTATCTTTTTGTTATTTGAAAGCCTGATCATGTCATGAGTATGCATGTCGGTATGTGTATGTATTCCCTTGCTGTTCGTTGTACAGATGAGCAATCCCATCAAACTCCCGATGACTGCACTCTCCACGACCGGTCATTGGCCTTTCAATTTCAACTATGGTTTTGACTCCTCCCCCTTCCTCTCCGTATTAAACTTCCACATCGACAGCTTCAACGGAACAACTCGTTTGTCTTGCTTTTTGACTGCTATATTCTTTTCTTTTTTTCTTCTTTCGACAAGAAATAAGCATAGTTGTGGTACGAAAATACTACGGCTTCGAATTCTATTATGTGTGCTTGATTGCTTCTAATGATGGTGTTTCATTCCATTATTGGGTCTTTCATGACTTGACGATGTCGTTCTAACTCTTGGGTGTTTTGTCATACCATTGTTAGAGCTGGAATAATAGTTAAAATTCCAGGATTTTGATTTCCTAGCCAATCACCTTGGTAAAAGGCCATTTTGGGTCAGCTATTTTATTAAGTAACCTCATTAGGGGTCATAGATGTTTTTAGGCCCTCTCTGGTACCCATTCCATATATTTTTTTACTTTGCATTCATCGTCAAAAATGTGGGAGCCACTTTGTGCTGTCTTCTAAACTTGTCATCTTATTCATTCCGTGATAAACTAAACAAGTTATCTGTTGTCTTGGTTAGTGTGCTATCAGCTAAACTTCATGAATTAAATTTATATTTCCGCCTAAATAAGTTGCGTAAGTGGAAACAATTTCAAAAACGTGCTTTGCTTGTTAGCAGTTGGATTGTTTTTTAATCACATACTTCCACGAATTCCTTTTACACCGAAACGTCTTTTTAGCCCTCACTGGCGCTTTATATTCATGTTTATTCATTCACATACAACTATTTGTTGTCATTTCAAATCTTTACGCAGTTGGCTTAAATTTAGTCCGACGTTTTATTCCTCAGTTGTAACTTTTAACACACATTATCTTCTCATAATATAATTTACTTGTCGGAATTTGTGACCTTTCACTTAAAGTGACATACCTCCTTTTTATTCGGCTCTGAAGCTAGCTGGGACCCGTAAAGCCTTGCCTCTGGATTTTGTAAGGGTGGGAGACACTAACATGAGAATGTTACGAGGTAAAAACTCACTTATCTACAATCCATTCAAACAAAGTTCCCGTACAATATGAAACCAACATCACAGTTTTCACTGCTACTTAGCTCAACCTCACATGCATGCATCATCTTACTCGATCATCTGACTCCCTCGCACAGCTGCACTCATTGCCATAGCAACCTGTTTTGAATGGTTTAACCGCTGTTACAATACTTAGTGTCATCTGCCTTACAGAGGATGGGGAAGGGTTGGACGACTACACTGCGCCTAATGAGACGGGTACCCCAAGCCCCGCGCCGGTTCTGCCTGCAACGAGTCGAGCCAGTAGCGGTGGATTGGTGCTGCGCTCAACGCCCGCTCACTTCGCGCCTCCAGGTGCACACAGAGGCGGAGAGGCGCTGGTTGAGTACTCGGTACCCCCACAACCGAGTGGTGGTGGTGGTCACTTAAAAAAGACCCCTCCCATTGCGCCTGTCGCCGCAACTGCTGCTGTCGCCGTTGCTCCGGCGTGGAAGCACCCACCTTACGAACGGATTGTGCGCGGCGTGGAGTGCATCATTGTGCGAATCAGAGCTCTCCTTGACGTAAGTTATTGAGTGCACAGCCAAGCCGTGAAGTTGTCCTATTAGCGCATTTTGTAAAGCACTTCGCAAGTTGAACATACTTGCGGCAAGGAGATGGCGTATGGTTCGGTCGTGTTCGTTGACTTATAGTTTTTGTGGCTGCTTTAAACAAATCCATGTCTATGGTTGCAATCGCAATGCACTGATATGTTACGCATTGAACTGGTCAGATTTTGCTTCAGAACTGGAAGTGATGCCTCTGTGCTATTATGCATGACGTTATGATTCGTCATATGGCTTACTGTTTGATTCGTACGATGAAATGTGCCGACTTTTGAGTCTTTTATGCAAAAATTCGTCCTTCCAAATATCCATCATACGCTTCCCATTTCCATATTCGTTACCATTTGAGTACCATACATGGGGTCTATATTTTTGGTCCATAATTTTGACATTCAACGAAACCATTGTGCTATTAGCAGTTGATTACTTAACCTTATAATGGCGATTTCTCCTGTTCCTATCACTTTAGTAGTCTCAGATAACCATTTCATCTGAGCATTCAAAGTAATTGAAATTTGAATTCCATACAGCTGGGGGATATGATTATGAGACTTAATGTTGAATGACAGCTTCTGCAATTCGAGTGATCGAACAAGCATACTTCATTTCTCATTACTTAATCGATCATATTAAGCTTCATTACTTCATTCAGGCAATCGCTTTACATCTTTAACATCGAAATGCATAATGATGGGAAATTGGGTTGGGGATTACCTCTTTGTAATCTCATTGTGCTTATGATAGGCCGCGTTCCTTTCTGTTATCCACAAATCACAATACCACCATGCCTTTAACACATTGTTGACACATTCAAAGCATAAAGATAACCCGAAAAGCTGATATGATGTATTGTGGCTACTAGCTATGTTTGATAAAACCACTTTTATCACCCGTATACAGAGACATGGTCTAAAATAATTGCTTTAGTGTTATTACCTTGCTATCTAGAAGCTTGATCACGAAGCAGATGTGAACATA